CTAGAAGAATGGTACAACAGGCTGCCCGGAGAAGTGGTGGAGGCCCCATCCCTGGGTGTGACAGCCGTTGTGACGACCACGTAGCGGGCAGTCAGAGAGGTCCCCAAAGCACAGAGGTGGTGGAAGAGAGCAGCGAAGGGGAAAGCTGCCAGTCGGTTCGGGGCTGCAGGGAGAAGCACAAGCAGGACCGTGCGGCACACGGAGCACCTTGCTCCTTCACCGGCACGCGATGCCTGGAGAAAGGACTGAGACAACAGCTGCTCTGGCTCCTCTTTGTACGTGGCAGGACCTCAAAAAAAGCCAGAGCAGAGCCAAGGAAACAGAGGTAGCTGCAGGAAGTGGAGCATGGGGTTTGCATTTGTAAATGTTGACTCCTTCAAGCATTTCTGTCCAAAGGTTCTGTGTGTAGGTAGAAAAGTTGGGGTTTGTTATTTGCTCTGCCAGACACCTTGGCCATTAGCAGATACTTTGAACTAGGAGTGAGGGAGCTGCCAGGATAAGAACTTCTTTAAGCTATCACAGGGTTCCTTAATGACTAGCTAATGACCCTTCTGGCACCCACAAGTGGGAATGGGGCCTCCTGGATACCCAGTGACCCCAGAAATCTACTGGACTTTGCTCTCTGCCCTGCCTCTCCTCCTGGACCCTTGCCTCTTGGGCCCAGCTGGCACCAGTATAAAAGAAGCACAGAGGAGTGGGAGGGATCAGGGAGATTTCCAGGCTACTGGAGAAACTGATGCACACCCCAGCATGCAGGTGAGGGATGTGAAGGGGATTAGTGTGCCTGCAGGAGGGCACTGTGAAGATCTCAAGCATCTGTGGGGGAAGTCAGATAAGTGGGGATGCAGGTGTCAGGGGTGGGAGTGGATCTGCAGGGGACCCAGGGGTCTTGGGGGGAGTTCCAGTGGGGTCCTGGGGACCTGTTCCTGAGAGGGTACTCAGGCTCCTGTGGAGAGCAGATGTCTAGGGGACCCACGTGTCCATGGGGTGTTCTGTAGGGGTCCCAGGCACCCAGCAGGGATGCACAGATGGTCAGGTGTGCAGGACTGGTCTCACCTGCATTTAGAGAGGATTTGTAAGGGAAGCCAGGTGTCTGAGGGGTGGAATTTGGGAATGAATCCAGCGTCCAGGGTGCGGTTTCCAGTCAGCGCCCAGAAACAGAGATGACCCCATTTTCCACAGGTGCCCATGGCACACTCGACGGTAAGTAGCCCATTGCCCGGGGCAGAGCCTGAGCCTTGCTGTCAGAAGTGCCTGTGGCAGCATGCCAATAGGCCTCAGACAGCACTCATGCCCCAAGGCTACTGTGACACCATGATGGCAGATTAGTCAGATTAACCCCCGCCCTGCCAGACCACTAAAACCATTGTGCACGATCCTGCAGAGAGCGTGGTGGCTGCCTGCAACCAGCAGCAGAGTGCAGCAGGGGTCCATGTCAACCCCCACACGCCTGAGGATCACAATCTGCCGCCTGCAGGGAGGGAGCACTCGGCCCCCTTGCAACTACAGGGGCCGGCAGGCCCAGCACTTCGTGGAAGTCAAATGCATGTATGGGAGGTCCATGCACCTCAAAGACACCCACCCGTAAGGCTTGGCATGGTGGGGCTGCAGGTGGAGACATGGATTCTGTCCCTGAGTTCCGGCAATAAAGGAGATGCCACAGGCCTGGGCTCTGGTGTCAGTTTCTGGGGGGACCCTGGAATCTTCCCCAAATCTGGGTAGAGAGAGCCCCCACAGTGCCCCCAACCCTGTCCAAGGTGGACCTGGCCCCAAAAGCCCCTGGTTATTCCCGATGTCCTGGGTGTTCCCTAGCCCCCAGTGGTGCCTCTGACCTCTGCCTCCTGAGCTCCACAAACTCTCCTGTCCTGGGAGTTGCACAACTCCTGTGGCTGCCCCATCACCTCCCTCGGCATCACCCTGATCCTCTGGCTGTGCAAGCAACTCTCCCTCC